GAAAAGTTTCTGCACATCTCAAGAAATCACCAGCAAAGTAAAAAGAAAACCCACAAACTTGGAAAAAATTTTAGCTGACTGTCCCTCAGACAAAGGGCTTCTATCTAGAACATATAAAGAATTAAAAAATATCAGCCCCTCCAAATTCAAAGACCCAATCCAAAAATGGGCAGCTGAGATGAATACACACTTCTCAGATAAGGAAATACAAACGGCAAACAAATACATGAGAAAATGTTCAACATCATTAGTCGTTGGAGAAATGCAAATTAAAACAACTCTGAGATTCCACCTTACCCCAGTAACAATGGCTAGCATTAAGAAATCAACCAATAATAAATGCTGGCGAGGATGTGGAGAAATAGAAACCCTTATCCACTGCTGGTGGGAATGCAGACTGGTGAAACCACTGTAGAAATCAATTTGGAGATTCCTTAGAAAACTAGGTCTAGCAGTCCGATTCAACCCAGCTATTCCCCTTCTGGGTATTTTCCCAGAAGATCGAAAAACATCATATCACAAGTGATATATGTGCACCTATGTTCATAGAAGCACAATTTGTAATTGCTAAATTGTGGAAGCAACCCAAATATCCATCTACTGAGGATTGGATAAGAAAATTGTGGTACTTTTATATAACGGAATATTACTCAGCTATAAAGAAAGATAAACTCGAGGCCTTTATAGGTGAATGGTCACAAGTAGAGACCATACTTATAATTTAAATAAATCAGACCTGCATGTGCAAGCACTGCATTGTTTCAGTAGTGTAAAACCTGAAAGAGTTAATTTAAACTAGGAGGTATGGTAGACATTGTGAAATGATAGGAAAACACTCAAGGGTAAAGGGCAACTGGGATGTGGGAAAAGAGGAAGGACATAGGAGAAATTTGTATGTATGTATATACAAGATAATTAACACAGTTTTTCTACTGTCTTCTATTTCTTTGCTGAAAGAAACTGTCAATGAGTCCTTGATTGATCAATATTGCATGTCTCTATCTGTTTTCATGAGAAACCACTTTGAAGATATCAATACGTAATACAACAAGCATTGTTAATTTCCTACCACTTTGTTTGTAATTCTGTATTGTCTTTACTGTTCTTTTGCTATTTTGTAAAAGGTTGTCTGTCTGTTAATGTTTTCCTCCTTTTATTTTTAAAATAAAAATTTTTTAAAAAGTAAATAAAGAAACCATCAATTCCTCCCCTGAGCTGTTATCTTTCCTGAATAGTTACTATATGGATGTCTTTGTTTAAGTCTAAAGCGCCTTTTCTGAGTCTTTCACATTTTGCAAGTTTGATGTACAACTTTAGTGAGAATACAGATGCTCCTGAAAGATTAACAAACAACAAGATGCCCTGGAAAATGCACTTCTAAGATATATACATTTGCCAACTCAGACCCTTTTCCAAATTTCCATTCCCTTATTTAAAAAAAAAAAAACCAGCCTTTCACCCTGACTGTCTGAATCTTCTCTTAGAAACTTGCCCTTTGTCTTTTTGCCATTGTACCCAGTAATCTAAGTAAACTCCTTGATTATATCATTTGTTAGTAAATTCTTTTTACCACCTGCATCATCAGCCCTCTGTGCTGCCTGGCAAGGCATCCCCATTCTCTGAAAGGATACCAGGAAATCTTATGCTGCCCTGTGATACCATGAGGGTCAGTTGTACAGCAGGACATCATGAGGGTCCAACTGTCCACCAGAACTGGATGAAGGTTCACCCAATGAAGGTTCACCCTTCATCAGGCCACACATTTCCATTCAGTGCAGACTGTAGACATCACAGGGAAGACGGTAGCAGTGAAATTTTTTCCCAGAGAAGATGAGGTCATGGAGGGATGGTCAGGGAGGTGAGTGTTCACAGAGAATTTGATCAAACTGGGGGGGAGAGATGGATATTTGGTGGTCACTGGTGGGTGTGGTTGTAGATAGCCATAAGGGTGAGAATATGGGTTAGTTCAGTGAGCAGACGTGGTCACCGATAAGCCTGGACATTCAGGATGTGGTGCTAGATGAAGATGGTCAGAGTTTTTCTGTGTGATTGTACTCAAGGACCTGCTGGGATCAAACATCACAATTGTGAGAGTGTAGTGTCAGGTGTATCCAGCTCTCACTGAAGAACAAGTCCTCCCCATAGATGATAAGAGTGGATACTACCTGGCCTTTAGGAGGGAATGCCACCTCATAGTCTAAGGAGAACTGCAAGGATACATATGAGCTGGAAATAGGCAAAGCCTGGGTCAAACAGGAATACTAACACCCAAGGTGAGGCAGAGAGAAATGGGCCCAGAAAAGGAGGAACACAGTGCATAGATAAAACCTTCTGTGTAGTACTATTGACAAATGGGTGAAATCAAAGTATATTTAATAACATTTTTAAGAAAGAAGGTAAGAAAGCCCTCCTGCATTCTTCTCATGCTCTGAGCACATTTATGGTTTGCATGATCAGCTCATAGGCATATGATTGCCATGGCCCACAATAGGACTTTATTCCTGGCTAAGCTTCAGGGCCAAGGAAATGAGGAGCCCCACCTGCATTTAAAGAGAGAGAGAAGTATTGCAATCCTCAGAGATTTCTCAGAACCCCAGGAGTTCTGGCCTACTGGAATCCCAATGCGAAGCAAAGCTACTGTGAAGCTGATACAGTTTGATATAGTAGGTGAGATGACACAAAGATTATCTTTAACCTGAAATCCCCAACCTAACCACCCGGAAGGACACTGCACAGCTACAAAAGATACCCAAAGAAAGAGAAAGGAATTGCCTGATTCCATAAAAGTCAATGAGAAGACTCCAGCCTAAGGAATTTTCTTGAAGGGATAGAACAGACCAACGTCTTAGACAGGGGAATGAGATCACAGACACAGAGAAACATCACTGTTAGTTATTTTAAATGTAGGCATCAACTACAGCAGAACTCTCTGAGTAGAAGCAGTAGAGCAAGAAGAGCACAATGAACCCAAAGGCACAGAGATGCACACCCATGGGACTGAGTAGGACTCTGGACAACTCTGCTTCCTCTGCTTCCTCCTCATGGCCTTCCTGGGTCTCTTCTATGTCATCATAACCCTCCAGCACTGGGCCCCCAAACACTGAGGGCCTCTCTTCTCTCTCCTCCACAGGAACAAGTTCGATGTCTTCATAGACACCCTCAGAGGGCAGGGGCTCAGAAAGTCCAGATCCTGTAAGAACACACAAGAACTTTAAAGGACAAACACTCTTGTAGCCTACTCTCCCTCTACCCAAAAGCCTGCAGCCACTCATGGATATTAAAAGCCCCAACACCTCTACATCTTTCTCCTTGAGAGCAGTCACCCCTCACTGGAGCCAAGCACTTTCCAGAGCATTTGAACCCACCCCTGAGGCCCTCAACCTGCAATGAGAGCAAAAGAGGGGAAAAGCCAGCTAGTGCCACAGGAAGTGGCATGTCCCTCATCTATCCATCTTAGAAATAGTGAAACATGAGCCCAGAGGACTCAGATCCTCAACACCTGATGGACCCACCTCATAGGTCTGCCCTAGTCACTAAACAGGGGCTAGAAGGGAGATCAGCCAGCATGTAGGACAGGGACCAGAACAGGAAGGGGTTACCATGGCTGGAGTCTCTCAAAGTTACCCCAGCATGCACTCCCAAGCCCTTTGCTAACTATGCCCAGCCATATCTACCTACCCATGTAGGCAGCTCTGCTGTAGCAATGTTGAACAACCAGAACAAGAAAAACAAGGCCAAACAGGCAGCCAAGAACCAGGCAGGTGGTCTCAGGCAGAGTCCAGGCCTCAGCAACAGGTAGAGGGGTCAAGGAAGGGGCTGTGGGGAATAGAGAAAGGCGGGGCCTCCTGTGTGCTGGGATGCCTGGGGCATTGTGACCCTGTGCCTGGATGACCTCAGCCTCTGAAGTAGAGTGGGAGACCCAAGAGAGGTGGGCCTCGGTGCTACCTGCACAGGCTGATGTTCTCCCAGATACAGCCCAAGTACAGGCCATAGATGGGAGAGACCAGTTAGAAGGCCCAGGTGGAAATTCCAGATAGATTTTTAACCACTAGGTGGTTTGAGTTAGGAGGCACAAGATAGATGCCCCAGGTATGAACAAAGGGAAAGCCCCTGCCTTCTGCCTTAGAAAAAAAGCCACAATACCCAAGAGGCCGTAGAACACTAGGGCCAAGCACCGCAGTCACCAAAGGAAATCCCTCTCAGATGTGGCTGTACTCAGGCTGGGATTCCACACTCAGGCAAGCAGAGGGAAGGAAAGCAAATGGCATTAAACCATGGACCTGGAACACTTGAAGGGAGTCAGCCTTGGGTCCCAGCCTCCCCAGGACCAGGCAGAGCTAAGCTCCTCCTGGCACTCAGGATCAGGAGTATGGTTGGTGAGAAGGGATCAACAACCTGATATGAGGTCCCCAAGACAGCTTCAGGAAAATGAACACCTGAGCACCACAATGAGGAGGTGTGGACAACCCTGAGTAGCACAAATATGCCCAGTACAGAGGCAGGCCATGTCCTACTAAGCCAAAGCCCAACAGTGCAGAGGAGCCTGTCCTTGAATCACCAAATGAGACCTTTCACACTAGGGACCTGTACTGGGGGATGTGGCTCAGTAGAAAACAGCAGACATTTAAAGACAGTGTCTTTGTTCCCCTCTCCCCCCTCACTCCCCATCCACTCACCAGAGCAGCACACACCTGCATGCTCCTTGTGTGTACAGTCACTATGTCCCCAAGGCTTGGCCTGGCAGTCCAACAGTGATGCCTTGCTGCCACAGTACCCCACTTCATCCAGCCACACAGGCCCTGATCCAGGACCAAATGCAGCTCCCCACCTGCATCCATGGCCTGGCCACAGCCAAGCTGTCAGCACATAACATCAGCGTCGGCCAGATCCCAGGAGTCATCACACACTGTGCCCCAGGAACCTGAGTGCCAAAGCTCCACATGCCCTGAGCAGTCATCCTCACCCCCGCGCACCCGCAGTATGCCCTCCTCTGAAAAGGGAGAAAGTGATCATCTCAGGAAAACCCAGGGATGGGTAAATGAAGCAGGACATGAAAGGGATACCTGGGCAACTGAGCATGGAGGAGAGTTGGGAGAAGGCTCATGGCTCTCAGGAATTTCTGCCTTCTCTGTGTGGGAAATTAAGAAGCATTGCAGTATTTGCAAACGGCAGCTTCAAACTTTGTGGAATATTTGTTTTCCCTCCCTTTGTCTTTGTGTCTCCATAACAAAGAGCTTCTGCTCAGGAAAGGAACAGGACTGTTTGTGTTCAAGAGAGCGTATCCACACAGGCTGAGGGACTGCAACACCAGTCCTCTGTGAATGTCCTCAGAAGAGGCCCAGGAGTCCCAGTAGCCTTCCGCACTGGGAAAGAACAGAGGGTTTGAGAGGACTCTAGATGGCCCACAGCTTACTCAGGAGCCTCGTGGCTGTGACCACCCCTCTCACCCTCACACACACCTGCACATCCCCTCCTACTCACCTGCACACAAGACCCAGGCCTCCTCACTGCTGGAGCAGGAATGTGGGTCCCAGGAGGAGGAAGGACACTGCCACAGGGACCTGTCATGCCTAGGCCTGCACTGAATGAAAGTCAGCCGGAAAACCCCAGGGGAAGGCCAGCTCTCTGGCCTGGCCGGCAGCTGCCCACACAGGACCCCTAGGGAGGCAGCGCTCAGGGTCCAGTAGACTCCACCCCAAGTCCCATTGTAGAAAACTTCCAGCAGCCCTGCACATGGCTGTCCAAAATTCTGCAATCTGAGATCCGTGAAATCTGCAGATAGAGAGGCCAGTTGGCAAGGCAGACTGGGAAGCAGTGGGACAAGCATGACAAGCTGAAACCCTGCACAGACCTGAGCAGAAGACTCCGGCGTGCTCCTTGTGCCCACAGTCGTGCTGGCCCCAGCCCAGCAATGGGCACTGCCACAGCGCAGACTCATTGCCCAGGCAGTCCAGCTCGTCCTTCCAGATGGGCCCTGACCCTGCCCCGAAGTGGGTGACCACCGAAGCACTGAGGGCAAGACCGCAACCCAGTTGACCACAGACTACGTGAGCATCCTGTAGGTCCCAGGCGTCATCACACACGGTGCCCCAGGAGCCTCCCTGTAGCACCTCCACGCGCCCTGCACAGCAGCCAGGGCCCCAGCCAGCCGCACCCAAAGGCTTCCTGAGGAGGAACTGAGTAAGGACACATGAGGCCAATTCAGGCCCAGGGCAGAGGAAGAGCTGGGTCCCACACTCACCAGAGCACATGACACCCACATCCCGCAAGGACCAGCAGGGACACTGACACATTGCACTGGGTCAGGAGGGTCTCTGAGCCCTCGCATCGCACTTGGCTCAGCCCAACTGGGACAGCTCCATGGCCAGGGGCTGAGGGATGATAGGCTCGCTGGGCCTCTCCACACACAAGCAGTCTGCACACGACGCTGGCACCACGCAGGTCCCAGGCCTCATCTAGGACGCAGCCCCACACACTCCATCCAGAAAGACCTCCACACGACCATCACAGCGGCTCTGTTCTTCCCTCAGCATAAGGGCTCCAGGGAGACCTGGGAGGCACAGAGAGGAGATCTTGGGTTTTGGGAGAGATTAGGGGTCACAAGAATGGCCACATGCTTCCCCTGCAGGGAAGGGGAGGGACCACCACCCCAGGCAGCCCCACCCAGTCTCAGCCCCTTCTTATCCATCATTTGCACTCCTCTGTTCACTGCTCTCTGACTTTCATCCTCCATGGTTCTACTCTGGCATCCACCTGAGCAGAGGACAGAGGCAGAGTTTCCCGGGGTACAGAGCTTTGCCCCAAGGGTGCTGGATGGGCAATTCCACAAATAAGGTTCTGTTCCCACACAGTGAAACACACCTGGCCAAATGGGAGCATCTCCATCTCCAAAACGGCCTCCTCCTTGTGTGGCCACTGCATTCCCACAGTTGAGCTGATGGCACGGAACAGTGGCATCTTTTAAGCCCCGGTGGGCTGGACAGGTAGGTGCCCAGACCCCCTGCACCAGGAGCTCCATACAGCCCTCACAGGGGCTGCTGCCATTGACCAGTCGGAACCCTGGGGGAGCAGTAGAGTCAGTGAGGCTCCAGATGGCCACTAGACAGAGACACTGATGCTCATGTGAGCCTCTTTACAGTGTACACCAGGTCTCAAGAGTCAGACGAAAGGCAAGAGAACAGCTTTGCAATGTGGTATCATCAAAAATTAGGCTAAGGAATTGTAATATCCATGCCTCCGCCTAAACAGTGATTAAGAGGGGTGGGGAGGGGGAAAACTGTCAAAATCAGCTTTGTCTGAATACTGGATGTGGGAGGACTCCAAGGAGAAAGAAGCTACCTCTGGTGGCTTTGTACACAAGCAGAAAGTGAGACTAGGCAGAGTCGGGCAATGGACACAACACAGAAGTAGTCTGCAAAGACTGAGAGAGTAAGAGTTTTCTCCAGCCCCCCTTTACAGAGAGAGAGACAGAAAGAGGGACAGAGGGAGAGGGAGAGGGAGAGAGGCACCTGTGCCCCAGTTGTCGGCTAATGGCAATGGAAACATTTTCTTGTTCATAGCTCAAGCAATACCTGTAATAACTGGAGCTAAAAAATATATGTTGAAACATGAACTACTGATTTTGAATGTAGGAAAATGAGGTACAATTTGTTGTAGAGAACATCCCTCAAAAGGGCAGGGATATTTAAACTAGGCCTTGAAATATCAGCAAGATTTTCAGTAAGAAGAAATAAAAGAAATGAGAGAAAATGTCAGTATTGAATCATATTGGTGGTAGGAAAGTGTTATTTTCAAGGGTGAGAAACTGAGTTTGATGGGAAAAAAGAGGATATATACAGAACAGTGCAGCTAAAACTAAAAACGCCACCTGCAGTAGTGTTGTGGATATCTCTAAATGGCACATTGTTTATTCAGCAGGAAAAATGACTGAATAGAATGTTTTTGAAAAAAAATAATTTTACTAATAGAATGCAGGACAAATGATAGATGAAATAAAGCCCTGGCAATACTTTAGATAAGAAACTGTGGGTTCCAGTGAATGTGACCCAAATCTTCTTCAGCCATACTACAGCAAAACTGTCAAAAGTATGAGACAAAGAAAGTGCACCAAAAACAGCGAAAGTGTCAAGTCATGTAAAAGGGAACCCTCAAGGCTAACGGTAGGCTGCTCACAAACACTATGCAGGCCAGGAGAGAAAAGGCTATGGGTGATTCGAAGTCTTAAAGGAAAAACTGCCAAGAATGTTATATCCAGAAAACCTCTCTTTATGAAAAGGAGAAATAAAGACTTTGCAACATAAGCCAAAAAAATAAATAAATAAATAACCAGCTGGTTAACAGTAAACCAGCCCTGCAAGAAATGCTTAAAGGGAGACTACACTAGAAGCAAAAGGATGAGAACACACAAAAACACAAAACTCAACAGAGCAGATTCTTAAAACAGAAAAAGTTGATCAAACTCCATTACTACAGAGAACAGCCAAATCACAAAGATGGAAAAAAAGATAAAAAATTAATAGAGCATACATCAAACTAGCTAAAACATTAACAGAATGATGGGAATGTGCATTTGCTTCTCAATATTAACCTTGAATGTAATCACATTAAATGCCTCAATTAAAAGATACACACTTGGTAAGTAGACTTAAAAAAAACTAGACCCAGCAATATGCTACTCATAAGAAATTCACTTCACCAGAAATTATACATGGACTGAAACTAAAGGGGTAGGAAAAAGATATTTCACACAAACAGAAACCAAAAGTGAGCAGGGGTACCTACACTTACTTTGAGTAAAACAGACTTTAAGTCAAAAAAGTATAAAAAGAGACAAAAATGATTTATATTAAGAAACAATTAGACAAAACAATATGAAATAATTGTGTATAAATGTATGTGCATCTAATTCCAGAGAACCCAATTTTATCAAACAGACTTTTTAGAGCTCAAGAGAGAGATCAGATTCCTTACATAAATAATGGGAGATGGCAACATCCCACCTTCGTCAGCTGACAGATCATTGAAAGTAAAAATTGACAAAGAAATGCCAACCTATAAGATAGACCAGTGGACCTAACAAGCATTTACAGACCATTACATGCAACGGTGTTAGAAGACACAATCTTCTCTTTAAACATGAAACATGTTCCAGGTTATTTTAGGCCACAAACTAACCCAAGAGACTCAAAAAGTACAAATAATGGCAGTGTCTTTGTCACCACAATGAAATGCACCTAAAAATCAGCAACATGAGGAACTTCAGAAATTCCTGTATCGTAACATGGACATTTTGAAAGAGATTCTCTTGAATAACCAATGGGTGTGTGAAGAAATCAAGAGGAAACTTTAAAGTTTTGTCAAAGCACATGAAAACACAGTATAGCAAGCACTATGAATGGTGAGAAATGTAGCTCAGTAGTAGGGTGTGTGTTAAGCATGTGCAGGACCCTGGGTTTGATATCCAGAAATACCACCAAAAAATTAAAAACTTAAACAATAAGCAAAAGAATGGTCTGAAGGCTACAGAACATTATAAAAATACTTAAAGGAAAGGTCAGTCCACAAAAGTAAAATTGTCCACATCAAAAAATGGAAAGAATCCAGAAATGGTTGCCAGGCCTGTGATCCCAGCATCTGGAGAGGTTGAAGCAGGAGAATTGCATAGGGAAGCACAAAAGACTCTAAATATCCAAAGCAATCCTGAGGATGAAGGGGGAGCTGGAGGACAGAAGCCTTTCGTTGTGCAGGCAAAGAATCTCTGTTGTTCCACTGCCCACAGGAATCTGGAAGTCAGTGTACGCACAAGCAGGACGCCAGGCTCAGGTGCTCAGGGGAAAGTGAGTCAAGTTATGGAGTCCAGGGGGTCTGGGTTGTGGTGTTGCTCAAGGGGGGGCTCTGGGATAATTTTGAACAGTGGGCAGGGAGAGAGCTCAGCTTGGTATTTCTGGTATCTTCTGTCTCTCTCTCCCATCTCTAGTTTTGCATGTTTTTTCTGTCCTCAGAGAGTGGTCTATTTAGGTCCTTCACTGACATCAGGTATAAAGTACCTGGGGTTTTTTTGTGAATATTTTTGTGAATGTTTTCCCATGTATTTTACATAACAGACCCCCATTAATATATGATTAGGAAATATTTTCTCCCATTATGTGGGTGGTTGTTTCAGTTTTTGAAAATGTTCTTTGATGCGTATTAAGGTTTAAATTTCAATTAAGTAGAACATCTATTTTTTCTTTTGTTCCTCATTCTCTTGGTGTCACATTTATGAATATAATTGCCATGTCCAAGGGCACGAGGCATCACCTCTATGCTTTTTTCCCTGAGTGTTTACACATAGGCCTTTGTTTCATTTTAAGTTAATCTTTGTAGATGGTGTATGGAATGGGCCAGCTTTATTCTTTCCCATGTAGATATTCAGATTCTTCAGTACCATTTGTTCAGAGACTGTTTTTCGGTCAAAGAACGATCATGGTGCTTTTTCAAAAGCATGCTAATCTAAACATGTGCATGTATTTCTGGATTTTAAATTCTACTCCATTGATTACGTTCACCCTCTTTTAACTACTATAGCCTTGTAATAAGTTTCAAAATCAGAAAGTGTAAGTCCTCCAACTTTGTTCTTTTTATATGTGTTTAGCTGTTTGAGACATCTTTATATCTCTATAACTTTTAGGATTAACGTTTTCTTTTATAAAAGGATACTGTTTACATTTTGATAGGGACTGAGTTGAATCTGTGGACTACTTTGGGTGATATCACCATCTTTAAAATACATCCTTCAACCCTTGAATGTGATGTATGTTTTCCTTTATTAGGTCTTGTTAAATTTATTTTTAAAACGGCGTGTATTTTTAAAATACATTTTTTATTTTCAATTAAACACATTTTTATGGGATACAGTGTGACACTGCAATACATGTGTACAATATGTATCGATCAGGTCAGCACAACATATATCTAATACCTTAGACATAGATCTCTGTGTTCATCAGAGATATTGGCCTGTATTTTTTTTTTTTTGGTTTTTTTTTTTTGTTGTTGTATTTTTGTATAGTTTTGGTATTGAGGTGCCTACTTCTCCATGTCCCAGTCCCAACATGCCAAAACCAGCCTCCAGACACAAAAATCACCTCTCATGGGACCCCAGAAGTGCGCTTGACCCACCAAATCTCTAAAGAACTTCCCACATATCCCACAAACAATTGAAAGGTATTTGGCAAACACTTCCACTTTAGTGGAAGAAGAGGCTGGAGTCTCTCCTGCTGAAGGAAGGAGGTTTCTGATACTTCCAGAGAAATAAAGAATCAGTACCAGGAAAGAGAAGAGGCAAGAGAGAGTAAGGCCTGTAGCCCACATCCAGGAATGCTCAGCCTCAGGAGCAAGACAGACAGGATGTGAAGGGCCAGGCCCTCTGGTGCTATTGAAATCCCCTGTGAGGTCTGAGGCTATTAGCTCAGCTGACTTGTTCTGGTCACCAGATTCCACCCTATCCTCCTGAAGTCTTAACAAGTTCCTACCAATCCATGGAGTTCTATAAGAAGTGAATGATTACATGGATGTCTCGAATGTCATACCATCAGTAACCCAGTATAGACTGTTATCAACAGTCTTGCCATTTAGTGTTCTCAGTACCTCTGGAAAGAGATCATATTCCATTTTATATGAGAGCAACATGATGGTCAGATCCTTGCCAAAACAACATTAGAGTTCTCTACTAGGAACTATAAGGATCCATTCTGCCCAAGGACCACCACATGAGGGTACATTCTACACAAGGATACCATGAAGGTCAACTACCCACAAGAACTTCTTGAAGGCCCATCTTACCTCAAGCAAGCCATGAATACTGCCAGTTTTGCAAAACTATTCCAGACGAGACAAGGAAAACAATTCCAGCAAACATATTTTCCAGAGAGGGAGTAGTCATGAAGGTACAGTCCTTTATGTATTCTTTTTTTAGGAGTTTGACTGATGTGGGGGAGATCCTGGGTGGTGATGATGAGTTGGCATGGTTCATGGTTTCTCTAATATAAGAAACACAAAATACAAGGAATTTGAAGAGCAAAATAAAGGATGGCTAATAGGAATCAAGGAAACGAATGTTTTGCAAATGGGGAAAGGATATAGATTATGGAGGGAGGAAAAGAAGAGGAAAGGAAAGTAAAAAGAATTAAGATGTGTTATGTATATGTAAAAACTCCCCACAATGAGTGCAATCACTATGTACTGCAAATATGTACTAATAAAAAAATTTTAATGATTGGGCATAGTTGTGGACAGAGGTGGCCAGGAGGTATACATATGAATTGTTTTGGTAAACAAAAGTGGTCACAGGTTGATCTGGACATGCAGGATACAATCCTAGAAAACAATGGTTAGAGTTCATCTGTAAGGTCACAGAATGTGCTGGAATCAAGAACAGAGCAGCTGTAGCAGCTGGAGTTTCAGATGCATCCACCTCCCACTGAAGGAGGATTGACCACATGTGAAAGGAGATTCCTTACATGGTTTGCTGGGAAATCCCTCTGCAGATCTCAGAAGAACTTTGAAGACAACAAATG